TGGAGCTTTGAAATCTGAGTAAAAGCCCAAGGATACAAGCCGAGATCGCGTTTGGGGGTCAACGGATGATAGTTAGAGCGAACGAAGAATCGAGCAGGCATATTGTGCACTGTCTAGTAAAATAGATATAACTTTTTGCTCAGAACTCCATTTTGGCTCCACAATATAAGGTTGGAAAGCTAACTCAAAGGGCTACAACTTTCATGTTTTACGTTTTTCCAAATTCTGAACGAAACAGGGTGAAAAATGCGCGCCCAGATGCGCGATCGCGCTAGTTTTAGCGCGCCCAGGACAGAAAGTTGTCCAACTAGCGCGGCCATTAGCGTGCCCAGATGCGCGACCACGCTAGTCAAACACGGGAAAAATATCCTTTTTCACATTGGAGAAGGTATAATTGTTTGGGCCCAACCCTACTTGGTATATATACATGGAAAAACGGTATTTTGAGGGAGGAGGACGTTTTTGAGAGGAAAACACAAGCACAGAGCCGCCGTGGAAGCCGGGTTTCATCTTTTCTTCCACCAACTTAGTCTTTTTATGCTTCTCTGTATGATTTGTTGTTTTTCTACCATGTCTATGTGGAGCTAACTTCACGTTCTAGGTTTGTGGTTCTTTCATGACTATTGTTATTCGGATATTGATTTTGATTTCTTAGTTTATCATATTGGTTTATTTATTCAATCCTGCACTTAATTATTTGATTGCTGATCACCAATTGAATACTATCCACGAATCTAGAGTTGAACTCGAAAGTGGGAATTCTAGATTGCATATAGGATTGAATAGAGCAAGTTCTTGAACCTGGGCATCGGGTTCCACGATTAAATAATATTTCATTCTGGTTGTTGCCTCCAAGTCTCTTGCTCCTATTACGGATTCGCGGTTAGGATAGACATATACCTAATTGCCTTGCTTGGTTGATTTACAGGAATTATAAATGCGTTTATGTTGATTCTAACTCCATAGACATATAGGCGTTAGGTTAGCTTGAATAGGGGAGTAAAAACTCGACAGATTCTTATGAGCAATATTAACCCTGTCAACCAACAAACTAGATAAATTAGTGCAATTGAAGAATACAATAGGAATGTTAGATAGCCCATAATCCTAGATCGTTTTCATTACATTGATATCATAAAAATCTGCTCATTCTCTGTCCAAAGGTCATTATTTGTTTTTATTTATTTTAATTAGTTTAGAATCAAATACTTCTTGGTTTAATTCTTGTTTAGATAATTAGGATAGTCTAATTTAGTTAATAGTTAATCACAAGTCCTCGTGGGTTCGACATCCGACTTTTAGTCACTTTATTACTTGACGACCGCGTATACTTGCGTGTGCGTTTGGCCGCAACATTATTTTCAAGCGTAACTTCATTGAGTTCTAAAAAGAAGAGTGTATTCTATCGGATTTAAGAAGACGCAATACATATATAGGGTGTGTTTGGTATAACGGAAAATTTTTTCCAAGAAAATGTTTTCTTGAAAAACAAGTAGTAATCTTATTCATTTTTCGGTATTTGGTACGCAAATTAAGGAAAATGACTTCTCAAGAGTATTCATAAATAATTTAGATATAATAAACATGAAACCATTAACTTTCAAATCAACAACCTTCCGAACCCACAAATTTTATAAACTTTCGAACCGCTAAACTTTCAAAATCGCGGAATTTCGAACCCGTAAACTTTATAATTTTTAAATCCGTAAACTTCCAAACACATAAACCTCCGAACTCATAATTTTGGAACTTGTAAAATTTTGAACCTTTAAACCGATAATAAAAAAAATTAAAACTGAAAAATATATTTTAAAAATAATTTTTTTGGGGGGAGGGGAGGGGGTGGGGCAGGCCGGGGAGGGGAGGGGGCAGTAAACAAAAAAAACTGAAATTTAAATAAATTTTTTTTTTAGTAGCGGGTTGAGAGGGGCAGGTGAGGGAGGGGTTGGGGGCAGGGGTGGGGCGGGGCTGGGGGGGAGGCAGTAAACAAAAAAAGAGAAATTTAAATTACAAAAAGCAAGAAATTTTTTTTTNTCTAGCTTAACAATAGTTTCAGATACTAATTTAGCATGGTTAAATAATAAGTTGAGATGAAATATGTATTAACTAATTATAATTTAATAATAATTATAATGTGAGAGTGTATATATATATATATATATATATATATATATATATATATATATATATTGTATTCATAGGATTTGTGTAAATATAGACGATGAATAAGTTTTTTCCATTTTTTTTAATAAGGCAACAAAGAATATTGAGTTAATTTAATGGACTCAATAATGTTGACCGACACTATGATGACAAAAGTATTGATTAAAAAAGTTACTAGGGTCAAAATAAATAACAAATGGATCTTACCGAAATTACCTTACATAGAAGAACTATAGCACATGAGATGGGGACCAATGACAAATCTCCTACGTGTCATATTACAATATTTATTGTCTTTTACTATGGATATTTTCCTACTCCCTCCGGTCCAAAATAAGTGATTTTTTGGCCTTTTTCTTGTGGTCCAAATTAAGTGATTTTTCCAGATTTCAAGAATGAATTAATTATTTTTTTCCTACGTTGTCCTTGGAGTAAATAGTGTTGGAACATGTATTAGGAGTGTTTATGTGAGATAGTAAAAGTTAATATGGTCAATTTCATTGCTAATTAATATTAAAATGTGGATTTCTTAATTTGTGTGTAAAAACATCCAAAAAATCACTTATTTTGAACCGGAGGGAGTATAATTTTGACAGCAACTAATCACAATGATTCGTAGGCTGGATTTGAAATAATTGATGAAACAAACTGCAAACAATTTCGTATCTTGAATTATGGCGTTCAATCTATCATCATTTGATCGTTTGACTTAAATTTTGAAATTTGTTTTATTTTACCTTTGTTGTTTTCGAAGTTTCGTCGAAGATAAAAGTTTTACTTTTTTTTTTTTTTTTTTTTTTTTTTTTTTTTACTGAAGTTTCACCAACCATTTCAAATCCAATAGCGTGTAAACTATACTTCATAAATGTGACATCTTTTTTTTCTCAAGGGCTGTTTGTTTTTTCGTTCTTATTATCTAAAAAGCCTAATGCCATCTCTCTCTCTAACTTTATTGCATGTGCCTCATTGTGAGTTTCTCCATTAATTTTTTTTTTCCTATCCGGTGTCCGATATTTCTGGTGAAGCTGACTAAATCTAAATTTTTGCCGGGAAGTTCCATATTAGGGGGTAAAGCGCTCCATACAAATACGATTTCATACTCAATGCCCAAACTCGAAATCTCTGATTAAGGATAAAGGGATACTTACCGCTCTATTACTAACCCTTATTGGTTATCCATCAGTTTATGCATTAATGAAAATTGGAGTAATCTTTTTGGCACATTGCCATGATCTGCAGCATCTTTACTCCTTACAAGAAAATATTGTGTTCTTCCATTATTGATCCTAAAAGGTATAAGAAGAACAATCAATGCTTCCGTATGCTATCATCTACCGAGGATGGGATTGTTGAAATCTAAGACAAGTTATATTATTTAAACTTATTAAGCTAAAATTGTTAATTGTATTCCATACTATAATTTTTTATAAATGCATCAAAGTAATAAAAGTAGCATGTCTTTTACATAAATTAAACGATAAATGACTAAATTCTCTCCAAATCTATTGGTAGATACTCACATACTGACGAATTTAGAAGCTATTTATGAATGACCACCTAACTTAAATCATAGATAATAGATCATTAAAGAAGAGCAATTTGGAGCATCGAACTAGAGATATTGAGAGAACTAATAAGAACATAATTATTGATATTTGAGAGGGCTAAATAAGATTTTCCTAGCTTCTAAGGGACTAATTACAATATTATCCAATTTACTTTGGTTCTTCCTCTAAAGTGGTAGTTTCTTACAACCCCAAACTTTTTAAAATTGTCGCATTAGCATCACTATTTTTAGAATCTTTCGTTTAGCCAATTGGAATTGCCATTAATCAAGTCAGAAGGAAATTTGACACATCATTTACTCTACTCCAGCGTACAACTAACGCATTACTTCTACTAACATAAAGTAGAAAAATGAAATAAAGTAGATAGACTCAGAAACAAAAGAAGAAAATTCAAGTTGGTCTTTGCCCATCACTGATTTAATGTCATAACTAGCATTAATTTGTAGTAATCTGAACTAAACTGGGATTACATTAGCTACCTTACACAATACTCTGAGTCAAGATTTACTTCTAAAATTATAATTAGTGCACAACCCTTAAGTGTAATACATTTATCAGTCATTCTGAAATTTCTTGTGATTTGAAGAGGTTGAAAGCTATCATAATTACAGTCAAACCTCTAAAACAGCCTCGTTTGTTCCGGATATTTTTGAATGTTATAGCGAACTGCTGTTATAAAGAACATATATTATAACAAAACATGACATTTGGTTCCGAATTTTTTTTGACTTTTATAGTAAAGTGATGTTATATAAGGATACTGTTATAGAGATGTTTGAATGTATATTTAACTCTGAATTTTTTGGTTTAACCATTCAATATTGGAAACTCTATTAATCCTGATTTAAGCCGAATACACTAAGAATAAATCATTTTTATCAAGTTAATCAATTTCTGTAACCCAAAGTAATTACATTAATAAAAATAGGTAATTACGTAGTGATTTGCAAATCATAAAAATAAAAAGTCACTATTAGAACTCAACTTACATCCTAAAAGTTCACTTTCCACTAAAAGAAAATTAAAATAATCATTAACGTATAGTTTATATTTTAATTTAGGACCAAAAGTACATATGCTTAAATTATTACTTAGAAAAAGTAGAAGGAAAAAAAAGAGTTTAGAAACTTAAAAGAGAAAAAAAAAAAGGAAATTCCTTTTGTGTTGAAAAAAGGTGGACATTACAGCTCAGCACACACATTACACAAATACACTTCCCATTTGTCTGTTTTCTTTTGCTTACAAAATATGCAAATTTAGAGAACCGATTCAACCCCTTTTCTTTATTCTCTGCATGGATGTAATGTTAAAGTATTTTACCCCCCACCCCCACCCCACCCTTGGTTCTGACACTGCCTACACACTTCACACATCTCTAAAGATTTCCTCTTTTATTTCTTCCTTTCACAGTTTCCACCCAATTCCTTCTAATTCTGTCCATCTTCCCTGAATTCCACAAGATTTCACCAGTTTGAGTTGTTGACTCTTACAGGTAATATCCTTACACTAACACCCACAATCCCTTTTGGCCTTTTGGTGATAAAAATTTGATCTTTTTCTATTTTGTCCATTTTGTGTGTTCTTTATAGCCTCATTTTTTATTTATTTATCAAGTTTTGAGCTTTTTTAGTTGGGTTTTTTTTTTGTGATATTTGATTTGGGGTTGAACTGAATTCTGTTAAGTTGTTGTGAAGTCTGATCTTACAGTTTTTTAATTTGGCTATTACTAATCCCTTTTGGTGATAAAATTTGATCTTATTTTTTAGTCTTCCTTTTTGCTTCAAATTCGTTATCAAGTTTTGAGCTTTTTTAGTTGTTGATATGGTTTAGTGGGTTTTTGTGTTATTTGATTTGGGGTTGAATTGAGTTATATTCAATTGTTGTGAAATTGTCTCTTATTTTGGAAGTCCAGTTTTCTTAATTTGGAGACCATTGATCCCTTTTGGACGTTTGGTGATTAATTTGATCTTTTTCTTTTAATTTTTTAGTTGTCCTTTGGGGTGTTCGTATAGCTTCAAGTTCCTTATCAAGTTTTGAGCTTTTCTGTTTTTTGTTGTGAAGTATTGATCTTACTCTGAGTTTATTAATTTCATTATCAAGTATGTCACATTATTGTGATTGATTAATTGGTTTTTGGTGATATTTGGTTGGGGTTAAATTTACTTCTGTTAAGCAGTTATGAAGTTTCAGAATCTGTGACTTTTAAAGATAAGATTCTTAGTTGCTTCTTCATTTTTTTTGGGTGGTGGTATTTGGTTGGGAGTGAAGTGAATTCTGTTAAGCAGTTGTTGAAGTTTCAAAAATCTCTGAATTTTAAAGATTGGATTCTTAGTTGTCTCTCTCTTTTGTTTTGGGAGGTTGATTCTTTACTTTTTGATAAATTCTTGCTTTTGGAGAATAATTGATCCGTTTTTGGTAATCTTTTTAAGTGTTAACTGATCTGATTTTCTTAGGCAAGTTTTTTTGGTGCTTCTTTAGTTAATTGATGTTTAGATATTTTGTGTCAAATTTAATTAGGATTGGTTTCTTTTGATGGTGAATCTGCGGTTGTAGGGCACTGAATATTTATTTTATTTATTTAATTTTACACTTTTTCTATGTTTTGTGATGTTTAATCATCTTAGTAGTCTAATTCTTGTTAAATTCATCAGATGATTCAAATGTTTACTCATCTGAATTTGACATGTTTGTACAGCCTGATTTAGCAGGATTAAGTGACCCAAACTGGTGGTTTGAGGTTTTTTTATTCCCTAATGTTATCCATTACTGGATATAGAAGTTAACTGTTTGGATAGCAGTATGATAAGCCATGTTCAGCTTTTTCTCCACTTCGGCATTTATATGAGATTTTCCGTTTTGAATATCTCTTATAGTATTAGATCTATTTAGTTGAGATTTGAATGATGTGCTCCATTGATCTTGTTATGAAATGTGAAAATGGTATTTGCTTAGAGCTTTCATGCATTTTCTCTTACCAAATGAATAATCTTCTGAGATTTTGAATCAGAGCTGCGTCTTCATACCTTGGACTAACTATTCTGGGAAGTGAAAGAATTTTTCAACCCTGGAATGATTTGATGGGGGCGTCAAACTCTAAACTAGATGAAGATAAAGCCTTGCAGCTTTGTCGTGAGCGGAAGAAGTTTGTTAGGCAAGCTCTTGATGGCCGGTGTAATCTAGCAGCGAGTCATATTGCTTATATCGAGACTCTAAAATTTACGGGAACTGCTTTAAGGAAATTTGTTGAACCTGAGGCTCCATTTGAATCTTCAATCTACACTTCAACTAGTGCAACACCTGAGCCACTTGCATTAACTGAAAAGTCTCTTTCCCAGTTTTCATTCTCTTCTCCATTCTCACGTCATGTAGATGCAACTGAGAATGTCCTGCCATCTCCTTCACCTCCAACCTCAAGTCGATACCATGTGAATCACATGAAATTTAGAGGTACATTTTCTAGGAAAGTTGAAGAGAAACCTCCGGTTCCAGTTACTGTTTCAGTTACTTCAAGTACACCGCAGAACTCCACACCTCGTTCCATAGAGAGGCCTGAAGCATCACCTTTTGAAACCCCTCCTTTCCCTTCTGAAACTTCACCTTGGGACTATTTTGGTCTTGGTCATTCTCTTGATAATCATTTTACTTCACAAGATGGAAAGATAGAGAATGGAAATGACACCAGACATCTCGGATATGTGGATAGAGTTCCTGCATCAGAAGATGAAGATGAACGGTATTCTTCACCAGGAAGGGATGATGGGTCACAGGTCTCAGATGATGAATTTGATGAACCTTCCGCAGAAACGCTGGTCCGAAGTTTTGAAAATGTCAATAGAACAGCTGATCATGCTACTAGCAATAGTGTCTCACCTGACATAACCTCTGTGAGAAGGGTAGTTTCAGAAGCCAAGTCTCTGAATGGGGAGAAAAGCAAGTCACCTGATTTGTCCCCACTAAGAGATGCACCCTCAGGACCCGCTGTTGATAATGACATGAAGACACCAGTAAAAGAAAATGATATTGAGAATAAGATTGCACCCAAGGACTTCTTTTTGAGCATAAAAGATATTGAGTATCTCTTCGTAAAAGCATCTGAATCAGGAAGAGAAGTTCCACGCATGCTGGAGGCTAACAAATTTCATTTCCGTCCAATTTTTCCTGGGAAAGAAAGTATGTCCTCTCTCTTTCTCCTCTCATGCCAGATAGAAAATGCATATAAAATGGTCATAACCTTAACTCTGTCTATTTAATCAAGTTGGATAGGCAAGGGAACAAAGTGAGTATTTTGGACGTGAACTGTTGCTCTCTTAACTCTTTTGTATAGCATTCTTTCTGCACTTTTTAATTGATCAGTGATATTTTATCTGTGGCAGGTGGGTCAATGACCAGAATATTAATAAGATCTTGTTTCTCTTGCGGGGACGATCCAAGCCAGGTTCCTGAAGGTAGGCCGCTTAATATAGAGATAGCTGTGGTAGCTTTTTCAGGTTCTACATGTATAATAAATAATTTGTTCAATACATTCTCGAGTTCTTTTCATCCCACTTCACTCTTGGGTCCACATGTTTTCTAGTTTATGATACGGAGACAGGGGAAGCGAGCAAGATATAGGGATGTTCTTTTTCCTTGAGAAGTGCAGATTATTATTTAGATCTGATTTGGTTTTCTAAGTCAATAATCTACAAGAAAACACATTTTAGCTTTTTTAAGTTTTTCTTTTTTTTATATGCTACTCTACTTCGTTTCCTCTTTTCTAGGGTTTTGGGGGGGGGGGGTCTGGTGGTTGGGAAAGGTTATTGGAGGAGGAGGAAATGAGGTAAACGTTCTAAACTAGGAAAAATGCTATCATCTGAACCATTCATCTAACAACATCATGTTCATATTAAAAAGTTGAAGGAAGGGATTACTGTGCAATCACAACCTTGGTCCTGGCCGAGTAGGTGTTCTGATCTCCTTCTTGCTGTCATTTTATCTTGGACACTTTATTGAGTAAACTTTTCTCCATGCTCGTTTGATCGGAATTCTTGCTGTCCACATTATTATGACTTCCTAATATCAATGAAGCTATTGTGTTAATGCATGAATGTGCACTTAGCATCTATTAGTAAATTTGAGACCATGCACGTATCCAAATACACAGATCTGCATTAATCATCGCTATTGCTTGCCGACCATTGTATGTCAAATGATGGTTTTGAAACTTCTAACCTCATCCAGACTCACTCGCTTTAGATGCTCTTATGTATGGCTTATTACTTCAACGTACCTTTCATCATGTTCTCTTATAGCTTTTACGGTCTTTTTTTTTCCTCTATGAAGCTCATCCAGCCGTCTTAAAATTTCTTTTTCAGAGCCTGCCCAAACTTCTGTGAAGTACCTGACATGGCATCGCACCACATCATCTCATGCTTCCTCCCCTAATCGGCTTGGTGTAAACTCAGCAGATGATATTGAGGATGTTACCAACAATCTCTTTGATAATTTCTGTATGGTCTCAGGAAGTCATGCCTCTACATTAGATCGGCTGTTTGCATGGGAGAAGAAGCTATATGATGAACTCAAGGTAAGGTATTGCTTATGTATGGACGATGTATGTATTTGTCTAGTTGTAACAGGGATACATGTATGTGAGCTAGTTAGTTATATGTAAACAACCCATAAGTCTTGTTATGATGATGACATTCCTATGGATGAAAAACTTACCTCTTCGATGTTAGTTTCTGTACTCAGATATTTTGTATGCAAAAAGTATTAACTAGGTTTCATATGGGGTTTAATGAGGTAACTCATAAAAGAATATCCTAGTGGAAATGCTCTTCCCTCCACTTCCCCAAAAGAAATCTAGTAATCTTGATGTTAATTATGTTTCTGCTTTCTTTTTGAATGACAAACTAAATTTCAGTTTCAAAGTTGCCTATTAAGTCAATTTCTTACAGAGTGCATTATTAATCCCTTGAAGCATTAAATTTGCAAGAAGATACTGTAATTTTTCTTTCAGAGCTCTTGACTGATCTCTTGATGTAAACTGGTCAAAAGAAACAATTCCGTAAATATTCTTCCCGTGTTTACATTCCTTTGGTCTGTTAAGATATTGTGATAGACTTTGTACCAACGGTCATATATCTTATTTGGCATAGTCTTCTGTCGAAGTTTCTTACTTGCTCTAATTATAGTTCTTTTGGAAGTACCGAGAGTTTAAATGAGATGCTTTTCCTTTCTCGTATTATTGTCTGAGATATATAGTGTTGTAAATTTGATATTAATCAATTAAGACATACTGAGATCCCAGACTAGAAATCAATGCATAACATCCGATCTTAAAATGGAATCTTGCCGTTATGAAGAGTAACATTTTGCAAAGTGATTGTGGTTGAATTTTTTATATCAACTCTTTAAGAAAAGTTGAAGAATTTATTAATAGACCTTTCAGTTTATTAGCATCTGCTGGTTATATTCTATTTATTCTCTTCTTAATGGTGTTTGAGCTGCTTATTGTAAATATTTAGTCCTTTCTCCCGTATTCTTTAGTTGCCGGCGTACAACTAAATGTAAATATCTTTTGTATTTCAGGCTTGTGAGATGATCCGAAGTGTTTATGATGCTAAGCGTAAGCTTCTGCGACAACTAGAATCTAAGGTAGAAAGTCCACAGAGGATAGACAAGACACGTGCTGGTGTGAAGGATCTTCACTCGAGAATTGGAGTTGCAATTCATAGAATTAATTCCATCTCAAGGAAAATTGAGGAAATAAGAGACAAGGAGCTTCAACCTCAACTGGAGGAGTTGATTGAGGGGTACGTCACTAATGTTGCTCACTATTTTAGCATTGAATATAATGTAAACCTATAGGGATATTCACTTAAATGCACTCCATACGAGGTACTCAATGCATAAAAAAAACTAGTTATATCATTGCACATCCTATAAAGAAGAAAACATGCACTTTAATAGTTCCATGCTTCAGAGATATGGAGAATCTCCGTCAAGTTCTCTCTACCATTATATGTTGAGCAAAAAAATTGGTTTTGCGAATTTTCACCAGTTTTGTCAGGAGAGAAAAGCTCTCCTCCTCACAAAAAAAAAACAGCATTCTCACACACGTATGCTCATGTTTGAAGGAGGATGGCTTTTGAAGGTTAATGGTTGGAATTATTTTCTTATTTTATTGTGCGCGTGCTAACCTGTTCCTATGACAGATTGAGGAAGATGTGGGAAATGATGCTCGACAGCCACAAGCTTCAGCTCCATATCATATCAATAGCTCATTCCCCTGGAAATATGAAGATCCTTATTCACTCAGATACTCGTCGGCAGATCGCCATCCATCTTCAAAATCAATTGAGTTCTCTATCTTCAAGTTTTACAAAGTGGATTGTCGCTCAGAAGGCATACGTGGATGCTATAAATAAGTGGCTCCACAAGTGTGTCTCCCTCCGCCAGCAATCATCCAGGAGAAATAAAAGAAGGTTGCAACCTCCGCCACTCAGAAACTATGGCCCGCCTATTTATACCACCTGTTCTGTCTGGTTGGAGATGTTTGATTCTTTACCCACTAAAGAAGTTTCGGATGCTATGAAGGGCTTGGCCGCTGAAATTTCTCACTTCCTACCGCGGCAAGAGAAGAACCAAGGGAAGGGTACAAATCATCATCCTCATGGAAGTGATCCAGCTCTTACCCCACTGAGAGATGATTCTCCTGAGGACTGGATAACCGGCTTTGATCGTTTTCGTACAAGCTTGGCTTTTTTTCTTGGGCAGTTAAACAACTTTTCTGAGTCTTCTCTGAAAATGTTTACTGATCTCCAAAAGGCCATCCAAGAAGCCAAGCATAGTTATGCACTGCGAATGAATTCCCAATCATAAAATGGTCTTCTGAGAAACAAATAAGTTGCAAAATGTGAAGCAGCAGCAGATACTGAAAGGCAGGCTGAAACTCTGAAAAGATACCAGTGAATATAGCAAAGCAAGGAGTATTTATTCTGTCATTTGTACAGGGAGGTAAACAAAAGGGAATAATTCTTGGAGCATCAATATATTTTTGTTGAATCTTGAAATAAAAAAAATCCCTATATAGTGGCTGTATATGCATATTTTGAAATGGGGCAATGGGAAGGTAAGGAGTTTAGAGTAGTCATGAAGAGAGCTGTTTATAGGATAGCAAAACATGTACATTACTTTGATGAACTCAGTTACAGTTTCATTAAATATTTTCCAGTTCCATGTTTGTTTCTATTTTATGGAGCTTTCCCAAGTCGTTTAGAGAAGTTTGGGTGTGCTAGAAAATCCCTCAATATTGCAACCCTCATCGCATAAGTTAACTTTTGCGGTTGAGTTAGGTCTATATTTATTTCTTAACAGAGGAGGCAGACTCCATATGAATAGCTCCCCCAAGACTTGCTCTAACTTGAGTACCAAATAAAACATGCAAAGCTATTGTCTTTGAGATGAAGCATTACTAATACATTCATTATTACTAGATTAATTGCTTGGCTTGTCAAGTTGTGGTTTAATGATTGTTCCTACGCCTTCTTTTCTTAATCACAAAAGTTCCATACCTTCCCAACGATGTAGTTATATCAAAATAGTTAGACAATTATCTTGATGCCCTATCCACATTTCCGAAAGGCCCTTGATATTGGAAAGGCAGAGGGGTTGGATTGGGCCTTACAACGACCTCAAATTAACATTAGGCGAACCACTTCTAGCACTACTGCAAGATATGTTGTTGGTTGGCACTGTAGTCGAGCACCGCAATGCAATCTGCATATAAAGTCACACCTCTCTAGTCATCCATTATAAAAATCAAGTTTTTTTTTCCGGAACTGATTTTTAAGTTATGTTATAGTATATATATCCTCTATAACAAGAGTAAACTGTATCAGAACAAATGATGTTGTTATAGAGTGGTTTGAGTGTACATGTGATATTGTTGGTTGAAGTTGGGGGTGCATTGTTCTTCTTGTTGTCTTGCCGTTTCAAGTTCTTGTTCACGAGCAAAGTACAACTCCATTCACATAACTTGACAATTTAGGACTACGAGATTGGCTGTTGTTGGTCTAAGCACTCGTTGGAAAACTGTGTCAAATTGGACAAGTTACCTATGAGAAAAACAAATCGAGGCTCGTGAATATATCCCTAAACTTGCAAAACATGCCAGGGGAAAAATGGAAAAAAAAAAAAAAAAAAAAAAGAGAAGAAGATAAAACTCACATCAACCGTGTTCAATGAATCCAAAAAAGTATTTATTTTCTTCTATGTAGAACGAATTAATTAAATTTTCAGTTTATAAATACAAAAAATTTCTCCTTATATAAGAAAAAACTCTTTCTTGTATCACTACATAAATTAAATATGACTAAAATGTTCAAGCCCTCTACCAAAGCCTCACACTATGTTTACAATCTTTGGAAACTATTTTAGATTTCTCCATTAAAGTATCCACCGTTATGTCACACTTAACTTTAATGGTAATTTCCCACGTCTTAACGGCTCCAACCTTGATCTTAACGGGCGCTTTAATGTTCACCCTAAACGGCACTTTCCCTTGCTTCTGTTCATTCCTTAACGCAGTCCTAGTGGCGCTTCCAAGCAGGACGTTTGATCCCTTCAACGGCGTCTTAAAAACCGTTACGTTATTCGTTGGCTGATAAAACGCCGGCAATTCGCCGTTAGATAGGTTAACATCGGAGTGGAATACAGTAACGGAGCTTCCTTTCCGGTAGTAAATTCCGATCTTGTTGTTAGGGTTTTCAGCTCGGACAGTGACGTCAAATGCAGGCGATACGGAAGACGATGACGTGAGGTTGAAATTCTTAATCGCGATGTTGGAGATAGTGTACTTCGGCGCTTCAGGGCGGAAAACGAGGTAGAGAACGCCGGCGGTGATGCCGAGCGCGATAATGAGAATGAGGAGGAGAGAGAATGTGTAGCAAAGGCATAGGCAGCAGCAGCTCCGTCGAGGTTTCCGTTTAGTCAGAGATTCATAACGGCGAGAATTCTCCGGTGGAGGATACCGGTAGATTTGATCCTTTGGCACTTGAACTACATACGTTCCCGGCGGTGGCACAGGCTTTGGAGACGCCGGCTGCGGTGGTTTTGTAGGAATTCCTACTTCGCCGGAGTTGTGCGACGACGGCAGTGGGCTCTCCGGCGGCGAATCTCGAGGATGTACACGATCAGCCATAGTGTACTTATACAAAACTATAGATACAAAATATGGAGTGAGAAATCAGAACAGAAATGAGGTGAACGTTGTTGTGGAAGAATGTGAGCAAAGGAATACCGGAAATGAATGAGGTTATGGATTGTGTGTGATGCGTTGTATTTATATTTATAGTAGTGCGTGTATACGTGTAATGAAAGAAAAACCGCGTGACATGTTACACGCAAGAGGTGGATATATTAAATTTGGGTACAATTCAATATTTGAAGACTACAGTTGTAAAGCACAAAACGGAAATTAACAGAACTTGGAAAAAATAAGAGAAATATCAATCTTAATTATCCATAATGGAAAATTTGGTTTTATAGATCTTTAACAAATATATAATTTTTTTCATAAAAGATTTTCAAAAAATAACACAAGAAATTTGTAAATAAAACATATTATTATTCTATCTATTCAAATTGTAAATGCGCATAAGATATTATTTCTACTTTAAGGGACTCCAGAATACTCTTTTTTCGCATTTCATTTATCAAGCAGTGTGTTTTATCAGTAGCTTTAGAAATGAAATTTTTTTCTTTAGTTATCTTATCCACAAGGAAAGATAATTTGACTCCATCTTCAATCAATTAATTAATTATTAATCTCATCTTAAGAAAAAATTACTTCTTGTAACATCATACTGTGTGATACAACTTTCACTAAGTCAATTTTCCAAAACAGGAAGTGGACTATTTCTCGCTTTAGGTGTGGAATTTATTACTACATTGATGTGCAGCGGTGAATGAGCAGAGTTTTGGTGAAAGTGAAATAGGTTGAAACAGTAAAGCTCATATTAATTGAGAGGCAAATATGAATAATTCAAACAAGACACACATGAAATAATTAATTGAAGAAAATGAAACAAGTAGAGAAAACGATAAGAGGAGAAGTTCAAAGAGTGGACTTCCTTAAAAATTGACAGCTAATAAGTTCTTAAAAAAATGGTGGCTATAGGTAATAGAGCATTAGGTAGCAAAACTTTTCTAGCCTCTATAAATATAACCGTACAAAATAAAGAATCTTGAAATTCTAAATCACATAATTTTTTTTTTAATATATAAGTCATTCCTTGATCTCTTAGTTGGTCTAAGTGAAGCTGATACTATCATTTTGAATACATAGGAAAATGAAAGAAATAAAGCGTATGTACATGTCTTTTATGTCATGAGGTTGGCATGGCCATCTCTGAAGAAAATTTCTCCAAAATGTGAAAACAAAATATGTTTGGAAATTTTCAGAAAGCAAAAAGTAGGGATATACAAAAATTAATACATATAGTAAATGTTACTCTAAGAGTGGTTCAAGCACGTTAAAATTGTTAGTATCCTGTATTCAAAACTAAAAAATCAGAAATGTTAGTTTAAGAAAACAAAATAAAAAATTTCGAGCCCACAAGTTTCTTGTGTGTCCTTAAGGAATTTAATCCCTAACAATTGTCCAAAGTTTCAGATTAATTTCTCCCAGGATAGAACGAAATAGCTATTATGTGATAGCGGCATTTCAAATCACAAAACTTCGGCGAACTCAAATGCCGGAGCAAATCACACAAAATACTTACATTTTTTGCTTTGAAAACTAATGCAGAATGCAGAAGATAGAGGGGAGAGATTTTTCAGATTTAGGTGGTGAAAAATGAGGCTGAGCCTCTCTATTTATAGCCAACAGAGTTGAGTCCCAACAGGTGCAAAGGTGCATGCTCGTTTGAAGAGGTATCTATTCGACAGAATTTCTTTAAATGGATGGCTGGTCAATAATTTGACCGTTGGAAATAATGCCGCGAAACTAATATTTTTCCGCGCAAAAAATATTAGGAAAGGAAATATTAAATGACGGAAATAGAAAATAAATTTGGTCCAAAAAATTATCAATCAATCATATCAATTAACCAAAATCAAAACCAAAACCAAAACCAAATCCGAAGCCGAAGCTGAGCGAGCGACGATGACAACATCGCGAGACTTGCTCTCTTCTTAACTCTTTAAGAGCTAGAAGAAATGCTTCTATATATAATCACAAGAATTTTCCTCTTCCTATCCAATGAGGGACAAAGTTCCTTTGTAAAAAGGACTAATTCAAAATTTCATTTCCCTTCATTTCTTTTCCCACCATTTTCCATTCACGCCTCTTTTTGTTTTTAATTAAAAAATCCAACAATCCCCCACATGAATGTGGAATGGCTATCCGGAAAAACATGCATGAAAAAATGTGTGATTCGTAAGTAATGATTAATCGCATCTGGATAAGTAGTTTTCCCTTTGAACTTTCTGTAGTGAACATATGTCGGATATGCTCGATCAATCGGTAGATTTAATATCTTTGAACCGTTGAACTTTGGTGTATACCTAGACAATAATACGTCACACAATCAACCCTTAACCATCTTTGATTCTCATTGTTGTGTTCGTCTCAGCCATGAACAACGCCTGATTTTATAAGTGCATAGAGAATTGGCCTTACAGAACTCTCCTTGAAGCGACTAACAGTTCACACTTACATAGGTGATTCCTAAACGTGTTATCCCGTAGATACACTATTTGATATACACCGTATCAAACCAAAAAACCATTAAAAAGCCTTAATGCTTTATCATTGTTACTGAACATTGTCTCATCAAGAGAATGGACCAAAAAGAAATTTTATTTGACAATATTGAACCGTCATTAATGACTTTGTTTGAGCTCCTTGAACCTAGATCTTGGAATCTCCAGTCTTCTAGGTAGAGTTACCGCTACAATGACTTGTCCTCGGCCATATTCACATCCCACTCGATGATCTTTTAACTACCTCTCTTGTTAGGCCTTTCGTAAAGGGGTCCGACACATTATCGCTTGACTTCACATAGTCAATTACGATAATTTTCCTAGAGAGTAGTTGCCTAACTGTATTATGTCTTCGTCATATATGACAAGATTTTTTTATTATTATACATAATGCTCCCAACCCTTCCTATTATCTTCAACTTCTTCACCGGCCTTGTCTCAGGCTATAAACTCAGTCTCCATTATAGAGCGGCAATGCACGTTTGTTTGGACAATTTTCAAGACACTGCTCCTCCACTGATTGTAAAAATATTCCACTTGTGGATTTAGTTCCTGTTGATCTGGTGATCCAATTTGCATCACTATATCCCTCAATATGCGGGATAATTATTGTAATGCAAAGTATGGTCTTGAGTATATTTTAAATACCCCAAAACTCGTTTCATTGCTATCCAATGAGCTTGGTCGGGATTACTTGTGTATCGACTAAGCTTACTTATCGCACAAGCTATATCTGGCCGTGTACAATTCATAATGTACACCAAACTTCCCAACACTCGAGCAAATTCCAATTATGGCTTGTGTTGCAGCCAAACGCACACGCAAGTATACGCAGTCGTCAAGTAATAAAGTGATAAGATAGAGTATCGAACCCACGAGGACTTGTGATTAACTATTAATTAAATTAGACTATCTTAATTATCTAAATAAGAATTAAACCTAGAAGTATATGACTCTAATCTAATTAAAATAAAAAGAAAACAAATAATGAACTCTGAACAAAGGAAGAGAAGATTTTTATGTTATCAATGTGATGAAAATAATCTAGGGTTATGGGCTATCTAACAATCCTATTGTATTCTTCAATTGAATTGACTAACTAATTCATCTAGCTTATTGGTTGACAGGGTTAATATTGCTCATAAGAATCTGTCGAGTTCTTACTCGCTTGTTCAAGCTAACCTAACGCCTATATGTCTATGAAATTAGAACTAGCAACAACGCATTTATAATTCCTGTACATCAACCAAGCAAGGCAATTAGGTGTCTATCCTAACAGCGAATCTGTTCCCCGATGCCCAGGCTCAAGAACTTGCTCTACTCAATCCTATATGCAATCTAGAATTCCCACTTTCGAGTTTAATTTTAGATTTGTACATAGTATTTAATTGGTGACCAATCAATCAAATAATTAAGCGCATGATTGAATAAATTAACCAATATGATAAACTAAGAAAGCAAAATCAATATTCGAATAACGATAGTCATGAAAGAACCACAACCCTAAAAGATGAAGTTTAGCTCCACATAGACATGGTAGCCAAATAACAATTCATACAAAGAAACATAAAAATTACTAAGTTTGGTGGAAGAAAAGATGAAACCCAGCTTCCACGGCGGCTCTGTGCTCTCCCTTGGTCAAAAGTTACTCTAAAAAATATTTTTACATGTATTTATACCAAGCAGAGTCGGGCCCAAACGAAACCACCTTCTCCTGAGCGAAATAGGAAAAATACTCTGTAAAAAATACACAAGCGCGCCGCATGGGGCATCGCGCCAGACGGGGCAGTAGTGGACTTTATCATAGAGCGTGCAAAATCAACCAGCAGCAAAAATGGGCAGCGCGCCACGCGCCGTGGCTGTGGATTTTTCTCAGAGTCTGCCTTTTTGCTTCGTTTTTGAAGTACAGACGTGGTTCTCGACCATCGAACGGAATCCCAGCTTAATCTCTTGGGCTTTTACTTAGACTTCAAAGCTCCAAATATCTCGAAATCATTCTATAACATCTACATAGCTCGGAATCACTCTTACAAGGAATAAAACAAGCAATTAGTGCAGAATACTAGCGATTAAAGCTCAAACTCAATTAAAATGTAGTAAATTAGAGTGTAATAAGCGACTAAAATACGAGATTATAGCTTACCATCAACACCCCACACTTAAATCGTTGCTCGTCCTCGAGCAATCAAACTACACTTTATATAGACAAGACCTTTTTAACCAATTCTCCTAACTCACCACACCAAGAATATTCAAAATAGACTAAGCACAAGAGTGTAACATCTTCACCTCAAGATTCGACTAACAAGCACCATACATTATTCACAAATGACCCACTTACTCTAACATAGAGGTCAATGACATTACCTTTCCTTCATGAATCAAGTGCCCTCACACAATGAAAGAGAGTAGTTCCACACACAATAAAATTTAAGAACAATTAGGAACTCAAGATAGAAAGAATTCACTCACTCTCAGAAATAACATTAATATGCCACAAAAGATGGACCATAGGCTTGCCCGTAGTGTACTACTCTACTAATCTAGCTCATTCAGTCTAGGATCAA